TGCAACATAAACTCGACCAGATACAGAGAATGTGTGGCTTCCTTGAACTATTGTGGGATGTTCTTAAAGAAACATGGAACATGCACGCATCCTAATAGAAGGCTTTTTGGGAAAGAAAAAATTCCTTTAAAAAAAAAAAATTGAAACTGAAAGACCCTAAAGGAAAACACAAAGGGTGTAGATATTGTGAAGCTGAACTTATAAAATAAATTATAGAATTCCAAGACTAAAAACATAGCCTCGAGGGTCAGCAGATGGCATGGAGATTAAGGTGTTAAACTCCCACATGTTTTACTGCAGCTTGAGTCCCAGACATGGTGGCTTGCATTCTCACTTTTCCTTTTTTTGTCTCTCTCTCTCTCTGTTGACCACATATGCCCTATAGAAAATTAAAATAATAATAAATAAATAAAATTAACAAATATGATTATGTAAGGGGACCAGCAGTTAGCATCATGGCTATGTCGCTGAACTCCCATGTAGCCGACCATGGTTCGAGTCCCAGACCCAGTGGCTTAAACGCACACCGGGTCCGTGTGCGTGCATGCACAAGATCCCAAGAGGAGAATGGAGAAGGGATTGTGGTGTGGCCGTCCCCCCTCGGAGGTGATTTCTCACTTTCTCTCTCTCTGTCTCTCTCTGTCATTCTAGTAAGCGCAAGCGCCCTATAGCAAAAACCTCTCAAAAAAAAATATATAAAACTACTTAAAGAAAGTCATAATGCATTTTTCTATGAAAAAATGTGTCATGACTTTCCAGACAACCAAAAAAGAATTTTTTTTAAGAAAGATTTTTGCTATGGGAGCGTGTGAACTTACTGGAGAAACAGAGAGACAGAAAGTGAGAAATTACCCCCAGTGGGGGGGAATAGCCATGCCGCAATCTCCTCTCCATCATTCTCATTTTAGGATCTTGGGCATGCACACACACACACACACACACACACACACACACACACACACATGCCCAGCATGTTTTAAGTTGCCGGGTTCAGGACTCGAACCGCAGCCTACTATGTGGGAGTCCAGCGACAGAATCATCACACAATTTGCTGGTCCCCCCAATAATTCTTTAAAAAAACAGAGAAAAAAAGAGATACATCCTTGAGGATGTAAATAAGTAACTGTAAGACAAATAAATAGTAATAATTTACTCGATTGATTATCGCGATTTATTTTTCTTTTAGTCTATTTGTCACTTACATAGAACATAATTTTATAAATGTTATATCCTTAAATCAATGCACCAATTCCAAGAAGTAGATATCCGTACTAAGCCCATTTTACAGATGAGGAGGCCAAGGCACAGGAACACTATGCTATCTCCTATGCTACTGTTCTCAATTCTTCCCACCAGCTGGAGAATGATCTTCCATGAGAGCTGCTGGGATTGGGATATAGGAGGTGAGATCAAAAAGGAGGAAGAATTAGACTCACAGGAAAGATGGGGTAAGCATTCCTAAAGTAGAGAGCAGCCTGCAGGCTGCAGACAGGTATAAAGTGAAAAAAAAAAGGGGGGGGAGGGGGTGACTAGCAGATGGAGTAACGTTTACATCACTGAACTCCCATGTAGTAGACTGTGGTTTGATTCCCAGATCAGGTGGCTTAAAACTCACAGTGGGTGCATGTGCATGTGTGCCCCAAATCCCAAGAGGAGAATAGAGGAGAAGGGATTGTGGCATGGCTATCCTTTTAGGGGGTAATTTTTTGCTTTCTGTCTCTCTGTCTCTCGGGTGAGCAAATGTGCCTTAAAGCAAATATTGCTCTTAAAATAAATAAATAAATAAATAAGACATTGTGCTATTGGACCTGAGAAAACTCTTTTTATCTGAGCATAAGGTTGCTGAGTGAGAGTTGGAGAGCCTGTTCAGGTCAATGAATCCAGCACTTTGGGTAGCCTGACAGTGTTGAAAGACAGTTTTAGAAATACCACATGGAGGAGACCAGCAGTTAGCATAATGGCTATGTCGCTGGACTCTCATGTAGTCGACTGTGGTTCGAGTCCCGGACCCAGTGGCTTAAACTCACACTGGGCGCATGTGCGTGTGTGCCCAAGATCCCAAGAGGAGAATGGAGGAGAAGGGATTGTGGCATGGCCATCACCCCTGGGGGGTGATTTCTTGCTTTTTATCTGTCTGGTGAGCTCACATGCCCTATCGCGAAAACCTCTCCAAAAAAAAAAAGTATGACATGGAACTAATTAACAGCTTCTCTTAAGGGAAATGAATTGTTGACATTCCCAGGGAAACATCATCCTGGGTGCTGTGGCCCTGGGATCTGCAAGGTCTGCTCTGGAGCCTGAACAATCATCAGGAGAGGAATGGTGAGTCTGCTAGAGGCTGGGCTGGGAAGATGGGGAGGAGCTGTCTGAGCTTTGCAGCTGGCAGACTCCTTCAACCTGGTCACTAATTAGATGGGAAGAATGAGAAAAAGGGAAAGGAAGATAATGCCCAGATGTGCTGCACAGGCCAATGGGCAGATTGTATCGCCATTAATAACCTGCTTATTTAATGGTATCTTCTCACCAGATGGGATTAAATTCGAAAAAAGAAAAAAAATCAGCAAACAGCAGATAAAAATGCAAAAGGCTAAATCCAAACAAGCCAATCCAAGGAGCTCTGGGTGCTTTCCCAGTACAGCATAATGGTTATAGCCTGGGTTACAGATTCCCTGGGTTGGACTATTACTAGCTCTGTGTCCTTTGGTAAAACTGGGCACAATTCTTGACTTATTTATATCTTAACAGACCCATCTATAAAATCAAACTGATAACAATAATGTTTACTTCATGGGGATGTCATGGGATTAAATGGATTAATACAGGGAGAGAGCTCAGAGTATGGCCTGGTCAGGAGTTAAGACTCCAATAACTATTAACTAATATTTCAGCACTAGTTCCTTATTTCATATCTTAGAAACATTGTACAAAAACTGAAAAACAAGGAAAAAGTACAAAGATAATTAATCTAAATAAAATAGAGTAACAGCAAAAGAAATACTATCATCAATAGAGCACTTAATGTTAACCTAGGGTGATGCTTTGGCTACACTGAGTTGAAAGGTTTTTCCAAGTCTTAAACTAGTTTGGATAGGAGTTGTTAACATGGAGAATAGACTTGGGAAAATCTGGGAATTCCTCAGAGTATCTACAAAAATATGGTATCTTTTTCTTCCTTAAAATAATATCAAAACTTAAAGCTAATACCAGATTTTTTAAAAGTGAGAATTCCTTTTGTAGGAGAAAGTCAAAATGTAGAAATGTATAGACATGTGTCTTGCCGAAGATCAAGATGGTTATATTCATGTTTTCTCAAGTAAATTTTTTTATTTTTTTAAGGTTTTTGCCATAGGGCATGTGTGCTTGTCAGAGAGAAACAGTGAGAAGGAAAGTGAGAAATCACTCCTGGGGATGGCCACACCACAAACCCTTCTCCACCACTCTCCGCTTAGGATTTTGGGCACACACACTCATGCACATGGCAGGATTTTCCAGTTACCAGGTCTGGGACTCGAACCACAGCAAACCATGTGGACTCCAGTGCTTTAACCACCACAGCACCTGCTGGTCCTAGTCAATTAAGTTTTTCTATAATGAAATGGTGACTCTCTGGTTCATTAAATTATGAAAAAATATTATCCTCTGAATAATATAATATCCCAAATTAATGCTAATAATTATTGAAATTCTGTGCCATAGGGGAAAAAAACGGTTAAAATACAGTAGTATTTTATATGAAATTATTTATTTATTTATGGACATAGGGCACAAATGCTCACCAGAGAGAGACAGAGACAGTGAGAGGGAAAGTGAGAAATGAACCCCACAGGAGAGCGCCATGCCACAAGCTCTTCTCTTTGATTCTCCTCCTGGAATCTTGTGTATACACACAGATGCACCTTATGGGATTTTCAAGCTACCAGGTCCAGGACTTAAACCATGGTCAGCCATGTGGGAGCCCAGCACCTTAACCACCAAACTACCTGCTGGCCTCTCTTTAGTTTTTAAATCTTATTTCCAGAACATCCCCACCTGTCTTGAGTTTGTCAACTGATCATATTTAGTGTGGAACACATTATGGACCCTCCATAGACTTACAAGGCTCAATGTTAACAGAAATCATGGTTACTAATCCCCCCTTCTCCCTTTGTAATGACAATAGGCAGTTTTCTGTAATTCTGAAGAACAGTTTATGAAACCCATTATATGCTGAGCAATAGCCGGAACTAGACTTTGTCTCTGGGGCTACCAGCCTGTCCAGAACTGAGCAGGCAACGCAAGCCACATAAACTAGTAGAGCCACCGTGACTCTCCCCTGCCGATCGCCCACAGGTTTGCTGACTGACGACAAGTACTTCCCTGCTGAATCAGCACGACAATCCTGGCATGTGAGCCTAGCAATTCATTGCAAAATATCAAAACAAAAAGTCTTGTTACTCTTTGAAATTACCTTTCAAATTCCTTGAAAACACAGTGAAAAAGCTATTCAGCATTTAAATGTCTATAATGCCCACTTTTGCAGGAGTAAGCAACAATCATCCAATCAAAGAGTTCAACTGATAAGAAAAAACAAAACTGCTATTTTAAATTGCCACCATCATTATAACAGATGAGACACACTGCTTTCAATCAATATAATTGTCAGAGGTTATGTTATTACAGCTTGGCTTCTAGTTTTTATTTCTCTCCCAGACTGTGTGTGTGTGTGTGTGTGTGTGTGTGTGTGTGTGTATGTGTGTGTGTGTGTGTGTGTGTGCATCTTTTCCCTTCATAAATATTCTTGAAACACCCTGATTTCACTCTTCTTCAGTCATGAAATTTTAGAGCTGAAAGAGACTTACTTTATAGATGAGAATATTCAAACACAGGAACCCTCTCCCCTCACCATCTGCCCATCTCCTCTCCTTCCTTGTCAAGCCTCTCTCCCCACCCCCAACTCTGCTTCCTGGCTGGCCCCTGTCCTGTCCCATGGATGAATGAAATGAAAGCGTGTGACCACCTACCCACACACCTTGGCAGAGGTGCGCTCCACACGCGGCGGCCCCCACCCAGGCACGTAAGCTTGGTTGCACCTTCTAAGCGATATCCAGGGAAGCAGGAAAAAGTCAGTGAATCTCCGACTCCAAAGTGAAAACCAATCCTTCGACTGAAGGCAGGGACTCCAGGATCGTCACATGGCTCCAGGTCATATTCTAAGGCATGAAGAGATGCAGTAAATGTGTGAGGACTTGGAGAAAATATCAAAAATGTAGTAAAAATTTTAAAATACTATTATAAGAAAATAATGTTGGGTTATGAGAAACGTCATGACACATGTTTAGACAGAAAATCATAGGGAAAAAAATACAACATGATTTGACTTTTCCAACAACACAATATATATAATATATAATACATA